CCAACTGCGAGACAGCGGCAACCTCGTAGTTTACGAGGTCTCGCCGAACTCGAGGTGCGACCGGGTGCAACCTCGTAATTTAGAAGGTCGCACTGGTTCGCACCCCAATCCCAAACACCGTTCCCCGAACTACTGACGGATTCCGACTAGAGGTGCGACCGGGTGCAACCTCGTAATCTGCGAGGTCGCACCCGTTCGCACCCAAATCCCAAACACCGTTCCCCGAACTACCGACAGATTCTGGACTTCGCGGAACTGGAGGTGCGACCGGGTGCAACCTCGTAATGGTGGCGCCCGTTCACACCCGAATCCCAAACACTGCTCCCCGAACTGCCGACGGATTCCGGACTTGGACCACTTCTGACGGACTTCAGTTCCCCCAACTACTGCTGCGCTAGGGAACGCCGCCCAAACCTTTTGCTGCAAGTACTGACGGATGCCGCCAGGCAATCCTTATCCAAAAACACGTACAAGCCCTCGCAAAAACCCGGCTGTGGCATTTTTGGAATGATAGAGTCACACGAAGATCACGATGATGCTCGATGACAGGTCCCAGATCTATCATCCCGCCTAACACTGACATACACGAGGAAGGCTATCTATCTATCTATCTGTCTATCTATATATATATATATGTATCAACAACAGCAAGAACAATAACAACAACAAGAACAAGGACAACGATAATGACGACGATAACGACACGACAACACCAGCAACACCAGCAACACCAGCAACGCCAGCAACACCAGCAACACCAGCAACACCAGCAACACCAGGAACACCAGCAGCAACAACAACAACAGCAGCAACAACAACAACACTGCCACCATCACCAACAACAAGAATAACAACGACGACGACGACCACGGCCACGAGCACAACAACAATGACAACGATATCGACGACGACGACCACAATAACAGCAACAACAAGAACAACAACGACGAGGACGACAACGACAACGACAACGACAACGATAACGACGACGACAACAACGACGACAACGACAACGATATCGACGACGACGACAACGACGACGACGACGACGTCACCACTACCACCACCACCACCACGACCACCACCATCGGCGCCACACCACCACCACCACCACCACGACCCCCACCACCACCACCACCACCACCACCACCACCACCAACAACAACAACAACAACAACAACAACAACGACTACAAGCACGACAACCACGACAACCACGAACACAACGACAACGACAACAACAAAGACTGTCACTACCAGACCCCCCAAAAGCAAACCCCGATTCTCGAGCCGAGAATGGGGGTTTGCCTCTGGCGATCCCCATACCGCTTTCCCCGAACTACTGACGGATTCCGAACTTCGCGGGGCTAGGTGTGGTCGGGTGCAACGCCGTAATTTACGAGATCGCACCCGTTCACACCCGAGTCCCAAGCGCCGTTCCCCGAACTACCCACGGATTCCGAACTTCGCGGAACTGGAGGTGCGACCGAGTGCAACCTCGTAATTTACGAGGTCGCACCCGTTCGCACCCGAATCACTAACACCGTTCCCCGAACTACCGGCGGATTGCACCCGAATCCCAAACACCGTTCCCCGAACTACCGACGGATTCCGGACTTCGCGGAACAAGAAGTTATGCCGCGTACCGACTTTGTACTCCAAAAGAACAGTTGCAAGGTCCAGCCACGAAAAGAGCATTCATGAGCATTCCGCGTGCTGAGGTTGTACTCCAAAAGACCAATTCCCAGCCCAGCCACTGGAAGAGCATTCCGCGTACTACGTTTGTACTCCAAAAGCACAGTTTCCAAGCCCGGCCGCTGAAAGAGCATTCTGCGTATTGAGTTTGTACTCCAAAAGAGCAGTTTCCAAGCCCAGCCACTGGAAGAACCTGCCACACTCTACGTCTGTACTCCAAAACAACTAACTTCGAGACAGCGGCAACCTCGTAATGTACGAGGTCTCGCCGAACTATAGGTGTGACCGGGTGCAACCTCGTAATTTAGAGGGTCGCACCCGTTCGCACCCCAATCCCAAACACCGTTCCCCGAACTACTGACGCATTCCGACTAGAGGTGCGACAACCTCGTAATTTATTGTAATTTTAACGCTACGCCGCCCGCTTCGGCTCTGGCGAGGGGGCAGTGGATGTTGTATACACCATGCTAGGGGGGCCTCTCAACCCCAACCTGCTCTTCTCCTTTGGGGGGGGAGGGGGAGGGGCGGAAGGGGGAGGGTGGGGAGGGAGGGGGGAGGGGGGAGGAGGAGGGCGGGGGAGGGGGAGGCAATGGGAGGCATCCCAAATCAGGTAAAATGAAGGGAAGCCGGGCAAGGGCGTGGCAAACGAACGCAAAAACAGGGTGTCTCCAAACTTTCCGGACGGGGTGGAGGGAACCTGACGCAACCCCCAAGACGCCTGGGCCTGTGGCCTCGGCGGATTTACGAGTCGCACGCGTTCGCACCCGAATCACTGGATTGCACCCGAATCACCAACACCGTTCCCCGACCCACCGGCCGATTCCAGACTTGGGACACTTCTGGCGGACTTCAGTTCCCCCAAACTACTGCTACATTACAGACTGCCGCCGAAACCTTTCCCCCAAGTACTGACGGATGCGGACAAGCTATCCTTAGCCAAAAACACTTACAAACCCTCGCAAAAACCCAGCCGTAGCAACTTTTTGGAATGCCAGGATCATGAGGGGTCCCAAATCAGTCATCCGCCTAACACCGAAATACACGAGGAAGACAGCGCCCAGGTAGCAAGTTGACGTTTACGAGGCAAAAAAAGCATTTTCGGACTCCGCCAACCCGCGTCGCTTGAATCAACGACAGAAACAGTAAAACCAATGATGCTCGATGAGGGTTGTGAATCTTAGGCTTTCTACGAATAGACGAAGTGCACGATCCGTCGCAAATCACGGCCGTGGCAAGACCTCGGCTTCCGTACCGATTTTGCGATCCCCGAACTGGGACTGCGATTCCAGTAAAATATGTAAAATCCTGCAGAACTCGGGTGCAGGATCCTTCGTAAAAAACGATGCCAACACGACATAGCCCATTCAAAGCAAAACATCGACAGCTCAACTCCCATGGTAAGGGTCGACAATCTCGACGTCTCTGGGACCCGTCGAAACCATCCAAAAACATTCGAAATCACGATCCATCGCTATATGCGCGCAGGCGCCTCCTCCACTTTTTCCACGACCTCCACTGCGACACGCCGTTCCCACAGTAAGGGTCGCCAATTTCGAGCTTTCCGAAGCAGGCCAAAACTACATCTACATCGACACGCACGATGACCCGAGAAACACAGCGTGCGCACCTCCTCGTTTCAAATGGCTGGAAAGCACAACACGCAGGATCCCCTCCCCAATTCGAACCCACAGATCAACATGAAAGCTCAATGCCAAAACATCCAAACTCACGATACAGCTTTTTTTGCGGTCCGCGCACCTCCTGCCCTCAAAACGCTCCAAAAGGCAACGCGCAGGGTCCATGTAATTCGGAGATCCTCCCAACCCCCGAAGCCGCTCGCACCTCCCAAATACCGAAGAATCCTGAAAACACATGCCGGCTACCACCACCAAATAAGGTTTCCCGAACTACTAGCGCGATTTTCAAGCACCGAAGCCAAAAACGGTCACCGCACGCTGGCTTGTTGCATACCCGATACCACCACTTACTGAAAAGAGGAGTCCGCGCACTCGTAAGGGTCGCAAACTCCAGAAACCGTCCCGAAGCGAAAGTGCCTCGGACATTGTATTCTAGGATGGATTCTGATTCGCGAACGGAGGTATTTCCAACGGTGCAACAGCGCCAGCCACTCGACGTGCACGATCCATCATCGTGATCAAAATGCAGGATCCCTCGTACAAAAACGATACGCGAGCCACTTTTTGGGGGTCAAAGTGCACGAAACATAGCGCCCACCGACAAAACGGAACTGGGTACACCTCCCAGTGGAGCCACCCCCGCTTTATACTAGATTAGCTTTAAAAGAAACATATTCAGTTTATATAAATCATAAATCAAAATAAGTCGATACTAAACTGAGATAAACTTAGACTAGTTCATATAAATCTACACTATGAGCGATAGTAGAATCGATACATTCGACGAAGACCTCCACAAAAGAACCCGACGCCGACGCTTTCGGGAGTTACTTACAGTATTCCAGTGTTTCTTTTGCTGTGAGGTGGGCTTGGGCCTGGCTGGCTTCCGTGTGGGGACCCTTGGGGTGACTTTGCTTGGGCCAGCGGCACAGAGTCTTGGGCTCAGGGAACCGGAGATGGAGCCCGAGAGCCAGACGTCCCAGGTGCACTGGATCTTCACTGACAGATCCTGCCATGGTTGCATGGAGCCCACCGACAGCTTTACGCAGCTACACGGGGAAGATGCCAAGGGCACCTGGACTTTGATTATCGAGACAGACCCAGAAGTTGCGAACGGCTTGGTGACTTGGGTGGAGATGAGCATCACTTCATGTTAGGACTCGCGTCCACATGCATTCAATCAATTGTTTAATGCTGTGAAGCCCGCAATGCCGAGCTGAAGCAGGGGTAGTGCGCTACAGCACCCTCAACTTGAAGCAGCTGGGAAAGCGTGTCGCATTTCATGAGCTCTAGCATTCGCCAGCTCTTGTCACACAAACACTGTGAACAAAAGCAGCCAGGAAGGCCAGGAGGAATGATGCACCGTCTGCTTGGTGCCCGCAGCGTTGCACTTCAATGCACAAATGCCTTAATCAGCTTAAAGTAGGCGGGCACGGTGATATTCATTAGCTGTTGTAGTGAAATCGCACATCAATCAGACATGCAGATGGCTCATAAAGCGTGGGTATGTGTGGTATCTCGATGTCCGACCCCACAGTCTTACCCGATCATGGCCTCCAGACTGGGCCTTCGCTGCTTCCGACCATTCCGGCCAGCTGGGCGTGTGAGATGCCAAGGATTCGGGGTCGATTGCGCTTCGCGTCGGTGGAAGGCAGCAGAACCCTCCACAATGCCTTTGTCGAAAGCAGAGCAGCCCGACATAGATTGGACAGCCCTTTCAGAAGAAGATGCTGAACTGTTCGAGTCCTTGCAGTCGGCAGTGTCAGCTCTGGGAGACAAGGCAGATCATCCGATGATTGAGGTTCGCGACAAACTGGCCACTGCCTTTCGAGACAAAGCTGCCTTGCTCAAGCGAAACTGGACAGATGAAATGTTCCAAGAAGGTCAGCATCTCAACGAAGAAAAAGTTGCCGAGATAGAGGCTGCGATGGCAACGGATCTGGGCAGTTTCGGCGGCGGATTGCAGAATGGTCAGAATCTGGGAAATGCATTGGATCTTGTAGGTGCGTACATGAAGAACTACAAGCTTGATAAAGCGGATGCAGTGTTGGCAAAATGTGGTCCCTATGTGTCGCACCGCGGCGGTGTCTGGATGGTCAAGTGGCTCAACCACGACGGAGCCTCAGTTCAGAGCTGCAGCACAGCCGTCCGAGGATGTCGTTTCCTTTCTTCTTTCTTCGAGCTGGCCAGAGGTTTCAACGGTGCGCATGAAGCAAAGCCGGCATTTGGAAGCCCTGGCTCCTCGGCCGCACATTCCAGCACGTGCATATCGCATGCGGTGCGAGTTGTCCAAGCTTCCAAATCAAAGGAAATGCTTTATGACCTGGAAATGTACAGCGAGTCGCTCAGTCAGTAGTATATCACAAGTTCCATGTAGCTATAAAGGGGCTTGTGAGCAGTACATGGAGGTTTGGGTACACCTTTCTTGAGCTGCCTTGAGTGGAGCGGAGTAGTGCGAGAAGAATGAACCCAAGCAGCACGGCATGTTCCCAAGGTCCATACAATGCAGAGGAGGCACCAACTCGATCTAAACAATGTCTAGGCAGGTAATGCTGTGAGCTTCGGTCCGGGCTTGTGCAGAGATATGGGATCTGGATTGTTTTTTTTGCACCGCGAGTCATACAAGACTTGTTGATGGGTTCCGCTGCGTTCTGGCAGGCTCCGGAGTTCTTTACAACGCTGTACCGGAACCAGGTGCCAGCAGGCTGACGTTATGGCGATCAACGTCACCCGGCATTCTGCAAGGCTTGGGCATTGAAAGCCCTGGGAAGGGTTGAAGAGGCGGCGATGTACTTCAACAGGAGCCAGAACGGTTTTTGGCTAGCTCTCTCGCTGGTCGTGCCGAATTGGATAGGATGGCTTCGGCGTCTAAGCACTCCAAGGCAGTGTAGTCTTGCGCAGCACGGAGGCTTGTGCGAACCTCTTGATGCGAGGGGGACCTGGACTGGTTTGACAAATGGGATCTTGGGAAAGTCGCTGCAGCGTTGCGAGCCCAGACGCGTTTTGGAAGCTGCCGGGCCAAACCGGGTTGCTTTGTCTAATTAGGCGAGCTTGGCGAGATGGTGATATGAAGGCCTTCTACCTGGCTCGATCGCTGGTAGAGGAGGCAGTGGCTTTTTGAACATTGCCGCAAGAGCATGCAAGCCCAAGTGGCTGCTCTCCTTTCTGTAAGGCTGTGTGGCATGAAAGGATGTCAAAGCTGAGGCCCTGCAGCTTCAAATTTCACAAGAGCCAGATGATTTGGTGATGAGAGCCAAGGCAGCAAGTGACTAGAAAGCATCCTTCTCAAGGTTACGTAGCCGTTTCCTGGCACCAGGTCCACGACTCCTTGGCGGAGTGTTTCCTTATCGTAAAGGTGCAGCTCTGACTGGCTTAGATCTTTGTCACTCCAGCCTCGTGCCCTGACCTTGGCCCTGCAGGAACATGCAAAAGCCGACGAGCACTACTCAGCGGCCTACAAGCTGCTGCTTGACACAGTAGGCTGCTGCAGTCGTTGCAAGATGAGATTGCCGCCGATGGCGATGTTGCGTGTTCAGGCAATCAATCACCCCTATATGGCAAGCAAGCTCGGCATTTGGCCATAGACTCAATTACGCCTGGAGTTGATGTCTTTTGTTTTGTTATCGAATGCAGTATCCCCCAAAGCCAAGCCAGGCCAATCTGCGTGTAGAGGAGGGACGCTACGCAGAGGCAGAAAGGAAGGACAGGTTAAGAATGCATGGCAGCGCTTATGTTTGACAGGCCTTGCCATTGCTCAGTGAAGCCTTGGAGGTGGAGTCAAGCAAGGCCCAGCGGCCCTACATGTGCCGGCCAGCCATGATTGACAATCTGCCTGAGGATGCGGTGAATGTGACCGAGCTGCTGGAGCTGGAGCCAGCCTCAACGTAGTGCGTTAGCCGTGCAACGAAGAACCGCCTGCAGCATCCATATGAACCGCGGCACATGTAGGTTGATGTCATAGTAAACGCTCAACAGCCAGGACCTCAAACGCGGCACGTGCCAGGTCTGTCCGAAAGTGAGTTGAGATGATTGAGATGAGCTTAGGCGTTCATCAGCTGATTTGATGGCTGGCTCGAGCCCATCAAATCACGCTGCCATCAAGCGCCTACAGTAACTCCGCCGATTTCACGAGAATGAAGCCGGCGCAAGCAGCCACTGGTAGCGTCTTTCTTTTTTTGAAGCCGAAAGGCCGAAAGGAGAGGAAAGGGATGTCGTGACTTCGTGCGAGGCAAAATCTCAAAGCTCGCAGCCTGGATGAGTCGAAGGAATTCGCCGTGCTTTGTCACAAGCTTTCTCTGCACAGCACCCAGTTTTTTCACCGCTCGCAACTTGGAGTAGCTCCGTCCGCCAATCAGCTTCCACCCCGTGGAAGCGATGACAATTGAAGCCAGGTGAACAACCTGCTTCAGTTTGTGATTCGCGAACTCTGGCCAACATTGTCGACTGCTAAGGCTCTACCTGCACGAGGGGCAAGTCGATCCAAATGCGCTGAGGAGCTTTAGACGTCCATGGCACAGCCTGTTACGCTACTTTTGTTTGCTCCACGAGTGCCGCGAAGGAGAGCACGAAGACTCGCCAAAGCTGCAGTTTCTCAACTGCATCTTGAGAGTCGATCTCTGTTGTCATTTCATCGGTCTAAGCTGGTCACCGCGACCCTCATAACTACAAGAGACAGCGCAAGAAGAAAATCGCAGAAGGTTGGTCTCGAACATTGGCACAACGCACGGACTGTGTTCACAATAACGGTTTCTTTATGAGGTGTTGCACGAGTCGCTTGCCTTTGTTTGTGACCTTAGGGGAGGAGACAAAGGCGACTTAGTGATGCTTCCTTAGAGCCTAAGGGCAGGGCAATGGTGCAAAGTTGGCCACATCGACACGAAGCTTTGTGAATGTCGTATGATGCAGGTCGCCGCAGCCGCCCCATCCGCTTTCTTTCGTACTGGGGTGTTGAACCCTTTGGTGAAGCTACGACTGTGTTGCTGAAAATGCCCCTGCCCCGTGGAGATCGTGTCTCGTTAGGTCGTGGTGGATGGGGTGTCGGAGTCAGAGGTGTGTGGCCGCAGCCGTTTCTCAGTGCGATGCCCAGCGGCAGCGGCGTGGCAGTCTGCGGAGGCCGAAGCCGAAATGCGGCTTGCAAGGGACAGCAGCCGAGACCGGCGGTGCATTGCAGTTGTTTGGGGACCGCACGTGCAAGCGAAAGTCATGATGCGTCGTGGGCGAGTGTGAGCTGCGATCCAGCTCAATAAACAGGAGGCTTGTTGTGGGCACCTCCTGTGAAGCGAAGGCGCGGTCAATGGCTCCCTGATGCCGGAGTCTGTCACTGCCACAGATCTTGCGACCACTCAGTCGCAGCCTCCTAATGCAGTCCGAAATCAGGGTGAGGGGGCAGGGGGAAAAGAACGAAAATATGCAAATAAGACCATGGAAGCAATGCGTCAAGGAGACAGGGATGGCTCAAAAGAACCTTGGCAGGGCGAATTGCAAACAAAAGAACGGAAAAAGAAGGGGGGAGGCAGGGGCGACAGGCGGGAAGCTAAACGCGGACCCAAAAGAGCTAAAAGGTTCAGGGTGGTTCAGCATGTTCACAACAAGAAATGAGCCCGGGCGAGAGGGGGAAGGGGGCGGAAGGAAAATGGCAAACAAAAATTGTGGAAGCGGAATGAAGAGGAAAGGGGGGCGGGTGGTGGCAACCCGACAATCCGAGCTGATCCGCCTCTGACCCTTGAAGCAGAGGACCCCCCTGCCGGGACCTTTCAAATATTACAAAAATTAGACGTGTCCGGGCTAAAACACCGAAGCTCCGTGTTAAGCGGCATCCACCACAGAGCCGTTCCACACCAAACCACTTTCGGCTCACCAAAGCCCCAACTCTCACAGCCCTCTTCCAGTCCACAGCCAATCCACGGAAGACGTCAGAGGATGATTCCACTACGGCATCACCCACCTCGCCCACACGAACCCAACACTGATTTCAGCCGCCGGCAAGACTTCCACGATACTGCTGGCAGAACCCACGCACGCACACCCACGCACGCACGCAGTGGTTCAAGTAGCGTTGCCATCGGCCCAGCAACCACGGAAGGCAAAGGCACTCGACCCAGCTAAAGTAACTAAGGGCGAAAGCCTGCCTCAAAGGAGGCTTCTGGAACACCACCTGATACCTGCGCAGGACCATCGGCCCAAACACTGTTGGATTTCCCAGCAGACTTGGCAGCTAATAGAGCGACGCACCGAAGCCAGGAGACAACAGGACAAATAAGCAAAGCAGAAGTTGCACAAGGCAATCCGCTCACAGGCCCGCCTGGACAAGCAACACTGGCTGAAGGACCGTTTAGCAGAGAGCCCGACACCAGAGACAAGTGACGATGGATCAAGCGAATCCATTCTGACTCTGGACGGCCCCAACAATAAGCCCACCAGCTTCAGGCTGACACCTTTGCCAAGCACTTAGCTGAAGTCCAATGGGCTCCGCCGACAGGCTCGTACACAGGCCCGGCTCACAGACGACAGTCCTGTGAACATGGATTCCATCACGACGCAGGAGCTGTCCGCGGTGTTGAAGGGTATGACCGCCCATAGCCGTAAAGCACCTGGGCTGGACCACATCGCATCAGAGGCTGTCGGTGAACAGCAGAGTACCGGTGTTTAATTTATTCAACAGAGTCCTCCTCATGGGAGTCATCCCGCAGGAACGGTCCACAGCAGTGGTAGCCGAAGTGCGCAAGCGTGGCACCATGGCCGACCTCCAAGAACGGTTGGAATTGGGCCATGGACGGCAAGCTACGATGTACTCGGTACGGCTTCAGAGCCAGAAGGTCGACCTCACAGGCCATCCACTCTCTCGTCTCATCGAAAGTGCCGAGAGACACGGGTCAACCTTGTGCGTCCAACTCTTCGACTGGACCCAAGCGTTTGACACCCACAAGCGGTCTCACATGCACTGGCCAGACATGCAACTATTTATCAGAGCCCCACCTTCACAGTCCGGGCCGCGGGCAATAGAAACCGGCCAGCTCAGGGATTCAGCCGGGATGTCCGCTTTCCCTGTACCGGTTTTTGGTGGTGGTGCACAGCATGGTTATGGTTGATGTCGACGAGGATTTGCAGCAGAACGTAATTAAATGCTGACGGGGCCGTGTTTTTCCGTACGCCGCCTTGCAACTTCACAGGCTGGCAGTAAAGCGTCCAGGCTGGAACAAGCTAGAGGGGCTGCCAACGTGCAAGAAGCCCTTCAGGTCCTGCGCTTTTTCCTACTCACAGAGAGTACATGAACATGCGAGCAATACAATGAATACAATGACGTGGTCTCATGGTTCTCATGGAGCCATATCCAACCAATGCATCATGAGTTTCCCGGGCACAGATTGCAATGAGGAGAGGGTGGGATCCGACCATCTGACGAACAATTACCCCCGCAAGACGACCCCACACCAAAGAATCCATCGGCAATGCTGCCCTTTTGATACACTTGAAGGCAGCAAAAAATTAACGATCAATCGTTTGTATAGATCCGGCAAAAAAACTGTCATTTTGCCGGGTCACGGAAGTGATGTAATCAGGAGCTTGGGGGCGGATTGACCGTGAAGAACTTTTCGAGAACTCAAAGCAAAGACAGAGCTGTGGTTGTACCATCGTGGAAAGCCATTCGGGAAGCTGCCTTGCTGCAAGTAGCCACGATTGACTTAGTGTCTTTCCCCTTCGGCTTGACACCAAGATTTCCGCAGCACGATCTCGTGTCTTGGCATGTCCAGCCGACCATTCCGTACAAAAGACCTGCGGGGTTTGGGCTAGGACAAAGCTATCGTGCGACGAACAGACGGCAGGGCAATCAAGGGTGGAAGTATGGGCGCTCGGTGAGGGTTGGACTTGCCGCAGTGCCGTGTGGGGAGATCGGCTGGAAGGAAGCTTTCGGGTTTCTTGTCTTCAAGCGCTCTGTTTGTGCCCTTGTGCGCTGTGATGTTTGCAGGCCCCTGCAAGCTGTTACGGTTGTGTCGTTGAAGTTGCAGTGGTTCTGTGTCTGACTTTGTCTCAGGTTCGCATCCTCCGGGCACATCAAGGAAATTGTCTCTTGCGATCCTGTTTTGTTAGTAGCCGCGCATTCTGAAAATCAGGAGACAAGGACGCCTGCTCCCTCAGTGTGTGGCAATCGTGGCAAAATGAACGTGACATTTGCAGTACCTGTGCTCGTCTGCATGGCTATCTCAGGTGACTGATTGGCTTAAGATGTCTGAGATTCATTTGCGCCTATTAGATTCTGCGCAGTCCAGCAGAAAATGCGAGCTTGTGCCATCTCTTGCTCTTTGCCGTGGAAGCTTTGTGAACAGCATTGACCAAGAGTCGAAATGCACGTGGGTCAAGCCGATTTTCAAGAGACAGTGGACGAACCGGAACTCTAGTATCCGGTGGCCATGAGTTTGCAACTTGTCTGCAAATGGAATCGAAGGAGTGGCGACGCTGCTCACAAAACAGTTTCTTTCAACATTTGCTTTTGCACATCTTCGCCGAACGTGCAGATCCGGGTAAGTTCAGGATGCTCGAACGTGATGCTGCGACATGCAGCTTGTCGGCAAGGTTTTTAGGGCCCTGCTGCATAGACCTGGCTTCTGATTCGGGGATGGCCAAAGTCAAGGTCGGACGGCTTCGTAACAGATGAAGAGCTCAAACAATGCGGTTTCCTCAGCCCACAGTGAGACGGTGAAGTGAAGCCTGTCAATGGAACATGCAGGCTGGATGCACCATGCAATATGCATGGTGCACGGAAAGCCTGGTGACGGACAGATGGTCCTGACGTTAGTCGGAAGTCTCCGGCACCACAGAGATGTGGGCAAAATCAAGGCTGGTGACGAACGCGAGAAGGCATGGCACGGACCCGCGGGCACGAGGAGATGTCCTGGCCTGACACCCCCCGTCTTGGGCTGAGCTACGCCTAAGCCATGAGTCGCTAGACCTTTCGCGACAGAGCATGAACCCCAACTCTGCTAGCAGGTGATCTTATGCGCCAAGGGCAACACTGGGGTCGTGCAAAATCAGGCCTGGCATCACCGACTATACAGACTCTCCATATATCTACTTCCAGATAACTCTCCTGCACCGTAATTTGTACGAACTAAGAGACTGAGTCCACATCCCGACTCATGACTGAACGACACCTATCGCCCGGGCGGAACTTGTTCGGGTGGGTCCAATGCGCTCCATTCCGCCTCGCCCTACCCTCACCACCCTCCAACCCCTCCCCTTAAAACATCCCGGCCATTTTCCAGCGTCTTACGGTGGTCTCCTTGTCGTCGTTGCACCCCCTCGTGTTGCCCGACCTACAGAATCCCATGATGCGACTTCGCTTCTGGATGCTCTAATCTGCTGATGTTCTAGCTACTCTCCCCCTCCGGTAGGTCAGCAAGTTGAAGCGCCCAGCGTTCAGGACAACTTCTCACTTTGTTTCCTGGCTGACGGCTGGACTTTGGCATGCTGTTCAGAGCCTTTGGCTGAAGTGACCATCTTCATCGGTTCTTTACCCTCTGACCTATTGCACTATCCAGGATGGTCATGGCTTCCATGGGCAGCTGGTTGCCACACGTGTAGTGACAACTGTCCCGTGAGAGTCCGAGAACAAGTGAAAGACATAACGCCTCACATGATTCAGATGTGAGCAAGCCAGTGTCGGGATTTCGTACTTTAGCAAAGCTTGATCAAGGCACTTCATCGCCCATAAGTTCGCCGACGGTCTAGAGGAGCGCTGGAGCACTATACCCTCCGGCGATAGACTCGATGCTGGAGTCGGGCTTGAAGCAGGAGCATGGTGTGCCTGCGGCGCTAGCCAACAGCTTACTCCGATGTGGCTGGCCTCCTCCATCCTGGAACAGGGATGACACAGGATGACTCTGAGAGAAAGAGAGAGAAAGAAAGGAACAGTATAATATCACATTGTATAACCAAAGAAAGACGCTGCAGATTAGAAGTCTTCTTTGCTATTTCTTCAGAGTTGGCTAATCACGAGTATTCTGATGACCACCCTTGCTGGTCGCACCGATTGCATTTTTTTCTTTTGTTTGTGTGTGTGTGAGTGTGTGTGTGTGTGTGTTTTTGAGAAATTGCCTGTTAGCATCCGTTCTGCAGCTGGCAGAACGCTTTAAAGAAGTGCCGAGTCGGCATTCGAGCCACTGCGGCTGGTGCATCGAAATCTCTGAGTACTCGGATAAATTAAAGACCCGTTTTCAGCAAGCGCTCGCCTCGATGTTTGAGTTTCCTGCACTCCCTGCCGTCGTGACCGGACAGTGTCTCCCCTTGGCCGTCTTTCTGGTACCTCACGATTGGAGTTGCAGGTCGTGTGCATGGTTTCCGGTCCCGAACTTGCCTTTCCCGGATGCACCGGCTCTTGGTTTCTTCGTTGTCGTCCTCACTGCCGGTACTATCCTGGAGACTTTTGGCTTTATCCAATTTTTTCGAATCTGTACGATGTTTAATCCGACTCGTACATGGCAAGTGTTACTTAGGTTAATGCGGCGACTGCTACGCATGAGGCAAGTTGACACGAGCCTTCCTGTTGTGCTTGTTATTGTTGTAGTTCGAGCTTGTCGCGCTCCTCTCTGGCATGTTCGTCCCGAATCATGGCCGGCTTGACCACTGCTACGTCTCCCTGTGTTCTTGCCAAAGTGTTGTCGGTAGCATGGTGCAGCTCTGTTGTGCTACCTTTGCGAGTGGCCGACTCATTCACAATTCAATGCAGTTCTGATCACAGAACTTCGGCCGAAGCATAGCTTTTCAAGCTGTCTGCGGCTACGTCATTTTTCTAGCGGTATGACTGCCAAGATCGTGCTTCTCAATTGACATTGGAGCCTTCGGAGTTTTGAGGTGCTCTGCAGGTTGTTGTTGACCGATGTTGATTAACTCACGTTATGAAGTGCTAACAACATGAACGCAATAACGGAGCCTGCGAGATGCGGGGGCGGTCGCCCGAAGTTGGAGGTGTACGTTAACCTGTCGGGGACAGCAGCCTAAACCCCCGTTACTATTCACTCTGGATGTTATCCACCAGAAGTGTAACATCGATCAGGAGTTGCAACGTTGCAACGTCTGCGAGCAAGAGCATCAACAAACCATCTCACAGACGTATTTGCTGGCTTCAGCGACAGCAAGGAAAGATGTTGCAGCTCAGTGCGTCAGAGTATATACTCTGCCCCCGTCCAATTGAACTGAGACAGCGGCTTTCGACTCTGCTCAAAAGGTGTGGCACCTGGCAAAAAGGGGCACTCAATCTGCCAGAACTCACAACTCTGTCTCCTGGTGCTTGCTTTCTTCAACATGCCGCTCAGGACTTGGAGGCGCACTCGGCCAGATTTGGCTGGGACTGTGAGGTGAGGATGCAGTGATATGCAGTGTTGGCACAACAAACACGCGCTTGTCGCAGATCAGCACCGTGCCTGTGAATCAGGCCAGCGGCGCTTCGCTCATCGCGGCTGTCTTCGGCACAGATTCTGCTGTTTTGTTTTGTCACAGAATCGTCTGTAGACCTCATGCCGATCCGAGTTGTACAAGGGCAGCAAGGTCTACACTGCCCATTGCGGCGATGCCAGGTCCCTCCCCCTGCCGCATGTTGAGATGAGACATAAGTGCTTAAAGCATCATCAGGCCTGATTCCCCCTGTTGAGAACGATTCCCGCTCTGGCGCAACAAGACTAGCACAAAGTCACATAGCGTGGTGCCGAACAGTGTCGCGCACTGGCACAGCCCACGTGCGGCCTAACGTCGACTGCCCTGCTGTGTCGGCCGGCAGGGTGGCCAACAGATACTCTTAACCTGAGACGAGAGACGAGGCTAGGCGCATACCATCTCGCAAGGTGGAATTCAGACAGTGGTGTTGACACCAGCGTGCAGAAGCACAAGAGGTGTGTCAGCGTGCCAAGTTCGGATCTGTAACAGCAGAGTGGCCGGAGCAAGTCTTCTATCGTTTCCCAATAGAAATCAGACCGACATGCCAAGCATGGCCAAGACAAACCGGGGTCCAATTTAACAGATCGTCACGTCGCCGCCCACGCGCCCCTTTTGCACCCGGACGAGGCCCGTTCTATCCCGTTCTACTCACCGAGGACGATCAGCAACTGCTGCGGAGTCCCGGAAGCTGCACCCAATGCCGTCGCGGGAGGCCATTGCGCACGAAATGCCCTTTCACCCAAGCGGTGCGGCGGACATGAGCCGAAGAGTGGAAGTGGCAATATGTGGCAATGGGAGTAGTACAGTTTGTCATTCCTGAATCAATCTCGTAGCGTGGCACGCGCTGTGGCTGTGTTGCGTTCACGGTAGAGAATTGGCCGCGAAGTTCATAGCCCCGGGACACGGCTCCCGTTGTGACGTGGTGCATGTTTTGCTTGGACGGCTTTCACGTCCTCTGATTTACACTGACATAGGATCCGTGCGACCGCTTCCCCAGAAGAGACTCAATGTAACTTCGAATTCCAATACATGTGCAAATACGGGCAACCTTGTGGCCTGGAACCTTTGAATCGCACCAGCACAGTGGGCTGGTCGTGCCTTCGTGTGGCAGCTCATCGCCCAGGTGGCAAGGCCCGGTGAATAGAGACACCGTTGGCCCGCAGGCAACCGCGAAGCGCAGACACCGTCATAGCCGGAATGAATACACCAGGCTTCCGCAGCAAGACGTCAACAGGCAGATTCCCCCTCTGCGGTTTGTCTGATGCGGCAGAAAGACGTGTGGAAGATTTTAGATTTAGCACTTCCCAGGAGCTATAGGCGGAACGCCTGTGTGCCAGTTCCGCTCCTCTTTGGCCCTCGGTCGCCAGAAACCCGAACAAAACCAATCACGGTAAAAGTTGTGTAGCCCGCCAACATAACTGTAGACCGCGCGAAGGTTTTTGCTTGGTGAAGCCAGTGTCGCCTGTTCTAGGCCAACGCTGTCGTGGAAGCTTCGGCCTTAAAGGTGGCAGAATGCGCACAGTCTCGTGTCTACGATGCGACAAAGCACAAGCATCGACAACGTACCTGCGGAGTTTTGGAAGGGTACTTGTAGTAAGTAATCTGGCGGCGTCGCCATGCAGCAGAACGAAGCGCACACGGAGGATCACGGAGCATTAGTTATCGTCAAACCGACATGTCTTGATTTGGCATCCGAGCCATCTATGGGAAGAGTTGCCGCACAGCCCTTCAACAGGTGTATGATCTTGTATGAATGTGTTTGGTCACCCGGCCGTGCAATACATGCTTTGGATGCGTTCAACACCAATTCCATACGTAGCAATTGAGCCACGAGCATTCGCCACATGCAATGGGCATTCACCATGGACGTTGCAAACAGCAACATCGGCAGATCTAATGTCCATATGTGCACCGGGCGCATCGGATTTGCCAAACTTGAAGTCGCATTTTTCCTACGCAGCTCTGGCCAACTGCACAACGTGGACTTAAGACACTTCCTCACTTCCTTGGCGAGCACCACATAAAAAATCAAATGATCAAAAGTTTGCTTTGCTCGGCACGGTTGCAACTCTGCTTTCCGTGCAAAAGGTTACACCTGATCCAAATCAAACGAAGTGAAGGGCCACTTAATCATTCCTTTGTGGCGAATCCAAGCCGACAAGCCAAAGAGGCATGATGACATAGTGCGTGCTGCCCAGTATTTTGCTGTCCCAACTTTGACCCAAGCTTTTGTTCCTCACTTCCAACGCGCTTGCCTCCTTCACCAGTTTGGCCTCAAACATCAGAGCTGGAACCGACGCCCTTGGGCAAGTGTTGCTTTGTGGACGCTTGCACCTGTCTTCTCTGTCGATGCGGGAGAAAGAACAATCCCATCATCCCGGCCATATGCAAAGTGGCGCAGACGGTGAGGCCATCTTCGCGCTGGTTTCCGCGCTCCCTGAACCCGCAAAGTGATAATTTTCCCTGCCTTGTGGAGCTCGCGGCAATGAGGCAACACGTGTGGTGCACAGCAGCTCAGGAGCCGCCGGGCATCGCCACGGGAGGCTCCAAAGAAGATATAATGGGATTTGCTCCAGATGTTGTAAACTACTTGTAAACAACCATACACCTAGGTCCTGCCGCACACCAATCCCTGTTCTCCAAGTGATCTACATGAGCTTCGATTTGATTCTGCAGGTGGCATTCGCTCGTTCACCAAGCTGCTGTTTCATTTCAGTGATCGGACCACGGAGATCCGCAGTCTCTGTATGTGTCTGTGATGGGTTCTTCGGAAACCCTGCTGCGTGCGCACTGCTCCTAGTCTCTGCGCTGCAGACGAAAGGTCTTCGCGTCCTCACCAAGATTTCTGAACGCGCTGCAGTTGCACAAGGACTCGTCACGGACATGCCTGCCGTCGTGAGATGCGCGGAAAACTCATCACGTCATCAACTTGCATTGCCCGTGGATCAAAGCTCTCCGCAGTCTTGTCGTCAACATCGTCAACATGTCTTCCCCGGTGCAGCCTCTGCAACTCCGCTATCAGAACATGCTTACATCTTTCAAGGGGTATTAGCCAAGTTGAATGCTTGTTTCCCAACAGAGGCTTTGCAGAGCAGCCACTCCAATCTCAAACTAGCCATAAAACAAGCGCAACTGCAGCGTCACGCGCCGGTGTGCTCTGCGACCCAGACGCGGTGCCGGGTCGTTCCTCGCCGGCCCCGTTCCAGATCCTGGTTTGCCCTCATGAAGACGAATCGCTGCACGATCCCATAGCGTGGTGGTCATCCATCAAACTTGGGATGAAGTTCTTTGATGCCGTCGTAACGTTGACCATGCTGATTGGACTGCACCCTGACGGCCTTGCAGCCATCCAAACTCGATTCCATTTCAAGGCGGACGCAAGACGAGAGCTGGCACGACTGGAGTCACATGAAGGCGCGCGACCACCGCTTTGTCGTCAAGATAGGCACAGTTCCCTTGCACCCAATCACCGACAAGGACGCCGACTGAACTGATGGGATGATAGGCTGCGACATTTCTGCAAGTTGGATTTCCCCATCCATGTCCCGTGGTTTTCAACGGACTCGGACGGGCGAAAGCGAAAGCGAAAACCATCAACAACAGTCTGTTGGTGTGGACTGGTGCCGCCAGGCCCAGCCTGTTGTCCGGCAGGATCGTTGCCATTCGGAAGCCCTGAGGTGGAACTCGCGATTTTTTATCCGTCCGAAGTGGCTTAAATTTAAACTTGTTCGCAGGTTTTTGCGGCCAGACCGCGTACACGTATCGGACTGTGCGCGCAGCACCGCAGCTCATCAACAAACACTGAACTTCGCTGAGCTTTGTGCCATCCGCCGCCATCTCGCGACGAACCCTCTAGCCACCCTCCCTTCCGGTGTCGCCGATGTCGCCCGACAGCCCCTCGCCTTTGCCCTCCGACGGCGACTGTACGCCGCTGGTGTCTGCTCTGTTGCAATTGCGCCGGCGCAATGTTCCCGGCACGCGGAAGGGACGACATGCAGTGATTCCGAAACAACGCGCGGAAGGCTGCGGAAGTGGCGAAAGGGTCGTGCGGAAGGGTGTGTTTTGCGTCCGTGGGATTGAAACGGACTAAAAAACACAGCTCAGTTGTGCTGCTTTGATAAAGCACTTGCCGTGACACGTTAGCTCTTGAGACTGCTGACCTCGCGGCCTTTGTCTCTCAAAGGCCTTTAGCCAGACTTTTGCGCTGCGGAAAATGGCAGACTGCTGAGCGTGCTTCCTTCGGCTGGTCGCACGCGATCCTGTTTGCACAGTGGCACCGGAGCCTGAGTGGCCGCCCGGGGTCACCCTTTGGTTGCTGCCCTCTTTGCTGCCGCTGCGCCGCCGCCGCTGCTGCTTCGATTTCCTCAACCTTGAGCTCCGGGCCCTTTACACGATCCTCGGCTACCTCTTCGCTGAAAGCTCAGCCGGAGCCGCCGCGGAAAGCTAAGGGACCAAGGTCGCGTATCACTTTGCAAGGCGGCCCTTCATTCCTGGAAGTGCCGGAATTCAAGATCTTCGTGAGCAGCCATGGCTGAGGCCAATAAGGAATATGAAGGTGCCTGGAGCAGGTGCCCTACCTGGGACGGGTCGCCCTTGACTTGGAGAGCCTTCAAGCGTGAGATGAGTTGGTGGACCAGCTCCCTCGACTTAGAGGGAACCCGCCGCTACAACTTAGCGGCTCGCTTCTTGATGCGCCAGACGGGCATAGTGCGGCAACGAGGCGAGGAGTTCCTTCCCGAGGAGCTTGAGTACCAACGTGAAGAGAAGGCGCGCGACCCTGAGACCGGCGAGCAAGTGGTGATCACCCCGGAGGACCTGCTGAGTGGATTGAACAAGCTGCTGGAGGCGCTGGAGACCTTGAACGGCCAGAGCGTGTTGGATCGCCGGGGCGAGCTGCGGACTCAGTTTTACTTACACCTTGCCCGGCGGCCGGCCGAGAGAGTTGCTGACTTTGCAAGCCGTTTCCGGACGGCCGTCGCCGACCTGAAGGGCGAGGGCGTGAAGCTGCCAGATGCGGAGGTCGGCTGGTTCTTCAAGGAGAAACTTGGACTTGATGCTCTGAGGCGGCAGCTGTTGGAGACGGCCCTTCAGGGTGCCGAGGGCTACGCCACGATCGAGGCCGAATGCCTGCGGCTTTTCAGGG